CATCTCCTCTCTCTTCTCTCTCCCGTTTTCTCTCTCTTCTCTTCTCTCGCTCTCTCTCTCTCTTCCTTTCCCTCTCTCCTTTCTCTTCTCTCTCTCCGTCTTCTCTCTCTCTCCTCTCTCTCTCATTCTCTCTCCTCTCCATCTTCTCCTCTCTCTCTCTTCTCTCATCTCTGTCGGTCTCTCTCCGCCCTCTTCTGTCTCTCTCTCCTCTCTGGTCTCAGTCTCTCTCCTCTCTGTCTCTCTGTCTCTCTCTGTCTCTCTCTCTCTCTCTGTCTCCCTCTCCCTCTCTCTCGTCTCGTCCCTCTCCCTCTCCTCCCTCCCTCCCTCCCTCCCTCTCTCTCTCTCTCCTCTCTACAAGCTCTCTCTCTCTCTCTCTCCTCTCACGTCTCTCACTCACTGAGATATCTTTCTTTCTCTCTCTCCCCTCCTCTCCTCTCTCTCTAAATCTCTCTCTCTCTCATCTCATCTCTCTCTCTCATCATCTCTCTCTCTCTCTCTCCCTCCCTCCCTCTCTCCCTCTCTCCCTCTCTCCTCTCTCTCTCTCTCTCTCTCTCTCTCTCTCTCTCTCTCTCTCTCTTTCGCTCACTCTCTCGCTCACTCTCATTCTGACTCTCACTCTCACTCTCTAAATCTCTCACTCACTTACTCTATTCCGTTCTCTCTCTCTCTCTCTCTCTCTCTCTCTCTCTCTCTCTCTCTCTCTCTCTCTCTCTCTCTCTCTCTCTCTCTCTCTCTCTCTCTCTCTCCCTCCCTCTCTCTCCTTTCTCTCTCTCTCTCTCTCTCTCTCTCTCTCTCTCTCTCTCTCTCTCTCTTTCTCTCTCTCTCTCTTTCTCCCTTTCCCTCTCCCTCTCCCTCTCTCTCTCTCTAAAACGGAACTAAAAGCTCACTACTTGGAATATATAGATGGCATTCTACATCCCCCTCATGGTACGCCCCCACTTGCAATCTACTGTGATGCCTCCACTGGTCCTCATGGGGCAACAGGGATTGGTGTGCTAATTCCTGAAGAAAGTGAGTGCATCTCCAACTGGGCAAGCACAACTGATGCCGAGTCAGTAGCTATATACCATGCCATTAAGAAAGGTAGTGAACAGCAGCGAAACCTGGCTGTCTTTACAGACAGCCAAGGCGCTCTTAACAGGCTTACTGCATTTACTCCAGAAAACATGGTAACTAAGAATATCCTTCACCAAATGTTTAAATTATCAGAACGGGGTACCCAAGTGTCATTATACTGGATACCTTCTCATATAGGAATATCACTATGTGACAGGGCTGATCAATTAGCCAGGTTAGCACTTTCCCATGAAGATCCATACTATGTAATACCGCTATCTCTCAATCAAATGAAAAAAAAGAGTTATCAACTGTCTTAGAGATTATGAGGATCAGGTATGGACCAATGAAAAAATGAAAAAAGACGGACATGGTACTATCTGGCACTACGAGAGTGTTGTTGGGACATCAAATTTAGACAAGCCCTATAAAGTCTATCACG